CCTTTAAAGGAACCCTATGCTAACTATTATTAAGCTTTCACATGCAAGGGCGCCGATGGCACGGATGCAGCCGTTATCGGAGCGCGGAAGGTCCTGGGCTGTTCTTTCATGGATTCATTAAGTTCCAGAACTGGCGACTTCGGGCGTCATATGGGTGCCTTAAAAATTACCTATACTATTTCGGGGGAGTTCCTTCTTATAAATCTAGTATAAGATGCCCTCCAAACCTTATTCTAATGATTAAGCCCCCTACATGTAGAGTTTTGGATTCAAAGTTCCTCGAGTTGGGTTTCGGTCCTTTCAGGATCCTCCCAAAGTCGTAAAACCCTAAACCACTAAAGATCGACTCGAAGCCGTGCCCCATCTCATGTGATGCAGAATGCCTCTGTGTGTGTATATATATATATACGGAACATATGTATGTGTGTATGCACGCATGCATTCCAACATTGCTCCGACATCATAAACCTAGAGGCTCCATGTATGCTACTATTATGGAATTAGGTCCCAAAGGACCATCCATGTTATGGCTTTGGGGACCTGATTCCATAATGGTAGTATATACGGAGCCTCTGGGAAAAGCATATGCCTGAGGCTTGCAGGGTCTTCCAATGGTGTTTAGCAATTGGGCGACCCTAAAACCTAAACCCTAAACCCTAAACCCTAAGAAAGTGGAGGTGGAGCTGGAGAAGGTGCTCCGCGCGATGATCGCAAACCCGGAGGCAGTGTTTACAGGGTCTGCCTGGCCCCCCTTCTCAGGGTTTCTTATGATGGTTTCCTTATTATGGTTTCCTTATTATGGTGTCCTTATGATGGTTTCCCTATTATGGTTTCCTTCTGTATCAGTCCTTACAGAGGTAATAATGTGGAGCCTGATTAGGAAACTCTGGGCCCCATTACCCAATATATTCGTATTCATATGGGTGGTTGTCAAAATTACGGTCCTTTTTTGGGTCCTTATTATAGTACGGCACCTATCTATTATTTAGGGTACCCCCAAAAGGGACCCTAATTTTGACACCTATTCATATATGGAACCCCAATAAAGGCACAGGGTTCTTAATCAGGTTCCTACATTAGCTTCTTTGGGGTTCAAGGGTAGGCTTTATGGGTTTAGGGTTTAGGGTTTAGGGTTGAGGGTTTAGGGTTTAGGGTTTAGGGTTTGTTCAGGGTACTTCGGTCCAGGCTTCAGGGTTCGCGGACCCTGAGCAGAGGCTCTACCCTGTGGCCCAAAAAGACCAAGTTCCTTTTTAAGGAAATATATATATATATAATAGAATATATATATATATATATATGGTACCCCCCCTCAGTTGTCCACCTTTTCGGTGGTTTTTGAGCC